AAGGAAAATAAACCACGATTTTATCCCATTAATTCCAAGATGTTTTCCTGGATGTGCTGCTGGGTCTTTTCCTGTAAGCTCTTGCTGTTTATCCTTGAAGTGTACTTGGAATTATCAGGATTGTGAAATCCATTTGGAATTTTACTGTCTCTGCAATGGGATGAGTTTTGCCAAAATTATTCCTCCCAGACCGAGCGCATCTCCTCAAGTTCCCTCTGGCTTTCTACATCCTGGAAATGCAAGAGGGAAATAGATAAATGTACAACTCAATTAGAACAAATAAAAAACACTATTTCCCTTCTTTATCTCCAACCCCAAACCAGCTTTTGAGCATATTGTGGAGTCCTGGAATGGTTTGGGTTGTAAAGGACCTTAAAGCCCATCCAGTTCCTGGGCAGGGACTCCGTTCACAAGCCCAGGTTGCTCCAAGTCCGGCCTTGGACACTTCCAGGGATGGGGCAGCCATGGTTTTCTGGGAAACCTGTGCCTCAGCACCCTCACAGGGAAGGATTTCTTCCTAATACCTGATCCAAGCATAATCTCTTTCAGTCTGAAGCCACTCCCCCTTTTCCTGTCATTCCAGACCCTTGTAAAACTGTCTCTCTCCACCTTTCCTGTCACTGGAAGGCCTCAATTAGGGCATCACGAAGCTTCTTTATTCCAGGCTAAACAATCCCAATCCTCTCAGCCTTTCCTCATGGCAGAGGTGCCCCATCCCTCCCAACCAATTTGTCCCTCCTCTGGATTTGCTCCCTGTCCTCCCTGTGGGTGCAGTGATCCAGCTGGGATCTCAGGGGAGCGGAGCAGAGGGGCAGGACCCATTTTTGCTCCCAGCTGAGCGTTACCTCTTTGGTGTTCCCTTGCAGCTCCGAAGCGAGGTCCATCCACAGCACCGCCGCCGAGGCGTTCCCGAGGTCCTTGTAGCACTGGGAAGGGAAAATGGCAATGGGAGAAGGGTTAAATGGAAAAAAACAGGCAGCAAATGGAACTGGGAAACTGCTAAAAAGAGCTCTTCCTGCCTCTTAATCCTCTGCACTGGCATTTCCTGCAGTATCAGCCACAAGGCCTCAGAAGCACCACCACATCTTGGAATACTAAATATTTTTGACTCCCTTTCATTTTGGGCAAGGAGATTGGGTTTTGCTTGGACATTTTAAGGTGTCTCTGTGGTTTTCACTCTTTTCAAAGCTCTACTTGGATTTTCAGTTGCTATTTCCCCTCTTCCTCACACCATTTCCTCCACTAAAACCTCTCTCCTGGGAGCACATGTAGAAACCCAGACTGTTGAAAGTGTAATAAATATTATCTACAGGAGTCTCAGGTCCTAAAGCAGGTATGAAATATTCTCCACGTGACCAGCAGCTGAGGCACAGTGATCCCTCTGGGAACAGGAAGATTTTGGGTGCCCAGAGAGTCTTGGAGGTATTTGGAGACCATGAAATACACCCAAGAAAAGGAAATGGGTGCTAAAACCCCCTCAGCAAGAGGGCTCAAGACTCCCCTGCTGGACAGGAAAAGAAAAATACTTTATTCTTTATTTTTCCCCATGATTCTCTGGCTGTATCACCACAGAAGTTGTGGTGGAGAAGGATTAAACCTCCAGCCCGTGGCTACCAAGTCACTATTCCTGCTTTACACAGAAATTAATCTGTTATAAACCAGGGATGCTCCACTGGGTGACTCAAAGGCAAAACCCCTGAATTCTAAAGCCTCTGCACGAGGTGATTTGGCCTAAGATTTAAAAGATAAAAGTAAATATTATCATTCTATAAAATCTTGCTCCTGCATGGAGTATTTTCAACCCAGTCAGCACTTCACAGCCAAAGGTGATTTTTAATACAAGTATTTCTTACCCTCTGAACAAACAAGTGAGTGGTTACCTTGGCAATGTAAACTCTTCCTGCTTTGGAAAACCCTGGGCTCAGCTCCTCGACCTACAGAACAGAGGGAGGGTGTGACATTACAACATGCAAGGACACAGTTAATTCTTACATCAGGCTCATTGCAGCTTTTAAAGGAAAAAAAAACTGATGGCAAGAAGGAGAATCCTAATAAATACATAAAGCACTATGCCCCTGAAACCTTCAAACAGTTGTCTGGAAAAGTTTGAAATGGAAAAGTTAGCCAGGCTTTAAGTAAAATATTCTGAGGGAGGAGCTCCCAGCTCCCAGCCCCTGGAAGCACAGCCCAGATGTATCCAGTACTGAGCAAGAAGGAATTGCTGTGCAGCCTCAGAAAGGAAAACCAACCCCCCCTAAACCAATTCCCAACACTTTGGGCTGTAATTCTGACATCTTCAACATCCCATTCTTCTGTCTGGCTATCCTGGAACGGAGGTTTCACAGCTTTCCTTTACCCAGGTCCCAGGCTGTAGGGAAGCACCAGTGAGGGATCCAAGCACCCCACTCCCATCCCTGTGAGCTGTGCAGGTCAGTGATGCCCTTGCCTGGCAGATTCCCAGATTTCCTTACCCGCAGGAAGTTCTGGAGCGCGTCCTGCACCGTGGCCGTCGGGGGCGCCTCGAACAGCGCCGACACCGTCCTCTTCTCCAGCCAGCCCAGGTGGGCAACCTGCAGAGAGAAAAGGGCAACCTGGCCACCCATCCAACACCAGCCCAGCAAAAAGGGCCTGCCCGGTCCCTGGGAGCTGCTCCTGCACCCGGGAGGAAGCCAAACCCCTCGGCAGGGTTGGAATATTCCGATGGAGTATCCAAGTCCGGCCACAGAATTCAACCCGATTCGCTTTCCCTTGTACCGAGTCAGCTTTTGCAGTTCCATACATCGGGGATTTGGATGGCCCCAAATCCCAACCTGCCATGCTGCAGCCAAACCAGCCCCCAGCTGTGCCCTCCCTTCTCCAAGTCTAAACTTTCCATAAGAACCTGCTCCCCTCCCCACCCAGAGATCCCCTGGGAGAGGCAGGCTGAAGCCTTCCCACCAAATAATTATGGGATCATTTAGGTTGGAAAAACCCTCCCAGCCCATGGAGGCCAACCTAAATGATCCCCACCTTGTCACCCAGCCCAGAGCACTGAGTGCCACCTCCAGGCACTCCCTGAACACCTCCAGGGATGGGGACTCCACCACCTCCCTTGTTTAATCCTGTATAATTCTAACAATGCAGACTAGATGGAGCACTACCATACTTTCCATCCATGGTTTTATTCCATGACCTCAGCAGCCCCAGGCTCAGCATGAAGGAAGGATTTTCCCCACAGGAAAAAGAGCCAGGAGCTCCCAGCAGTTCAGCTCAGGGCTGCTCTGTAATTCCCACTGTCAATTATCCTAGTTACAATCCCTGCACCGTGGCTCCACTCCCAACAAAGTGCTTTCCAATGGCACAAATGGAACAGCAGCAGTCAGTGCAGACTTTTATTCCCCTTTTTAGGCTCTAAATCTGATTGATGGCATCTGACTCCAAGCTTTTCCCTGTCAGGAAGCATAAAGCAGCTGGCACATGCTTCCAGTGCCTCCAGTTCTGTGTGTGGCAGGGTCAGGGGGACACGTGCAACACGTCACACACCAGCACTATGAGCAGAAGCTCCTCAGATGGCCTTGACCACATCCCTGTGTGCTCAGAGGGTGTAAGGAAGGTTGTTTTTACCGAGTAAAGCCCTGGGAACAGGAAAGGAGTTCACAGCTTGGGCTTTTCCTAACCCACCCTTTGCCATTTTACCTCCCATGCCACCAGCAGTGACTAAAAACCCAAAGCTGGAGCTCTGAACCCTTCAGAGGCCTGCCCAGGAGGTGATGATAAACTCTGTTACCTGGTAACACCACCTGCCCAGGAGATAGTAGAGCTGTGGGTCCTGTGGCTTCAGGGCAATGGCTTTATCAATGTGTTCCTGCGGGAAGCACCACCAGCACGCGTCACATCTTTGTCAAAAGCAAATAAAATACCCACAACAGCACGTGGAGAAAGAGCAAAGGAAGAAATCCACAGTTTCAGTGTCACAATCAGTAAAATTACAGCTACAGATCCTGAATTTTCCCAAGAGTGGATTCAGTGAAAGGAAAAGCAGCGTTTCTCCAGCCTCAGGGACAAGAATTACTGGACACACACCTGCATTTTATTCCTGCTCCAGAGCTTTGCCATAACCTCACTGATCTTGCCAAAGGCTGATGGGGAAACAATTACCTGTGGCCTGTTCCATGTACATCCTCTTCCCCTGGAACATCCACAAGACATCATAATAATAGTAATAATAATAGGAATAAAAAAAAAAATGGAATCTGAGACAAATTAAGTCCTCTTTGAGCAGTAACTGCTTCCTGGGAGGGTGCAGGTTGTTCACAGGTATGTACTGCAGAGAACCTGGTGCTGTATCTCATCACCACATAATAATTCCATGTTTCAAGCTCTAAGTCTCATCCTTTGCCTAAATTAATTTCCAAGATTTCTCCTTTTTCTGCAATTATAGTGTGTAAAACTGCAGATCAGTCACTCCCAAAAGGCATGGTTGGAATCAGCCTCCTCACCCCAAACCACCCACTTGTGGCATCTCTGAGATCTACTGCTTCCCTAAGAAGAACTGGAGCCAATTTTCCCTATTTCCTGCTGCAGAAATAAGTGTTTGGTACTCACACAAAGGCCAGCACCTCCTGGCCACTCACCTTGAAAACATATCCAGCCTGGATGCGCTTAGGAATGCTCTCATATTCTGACACCTGCCCACATAGAATGGCAAACCTGCATGGGGAGACATCTGCATGAGCCAGCTGGGATTGAATCCACATTTAATCCACATTTACCTGCTGTCCATGGCTGCAGAAGGAAGATCTATGAGGGTGCAAAGCCAGGCTGGACAAAGCTTGGAGCAGCCTGGGATAGTGGAAGGTGACCCTGCCCATGGCAGGGGTGGAACAGGGTGAGCTTTAAGGTTCCTTCCAACCCAAACCATCCCAGGATTCTATGAATTGCATTAAAGCTTCATACCTTAGTGGGGAAAACAAGGAATACAGCACATCCCTCACAGGGAAAAGACATAAGCAGCAAAATCATAGCTCCCAGGAAGGAATGAGCTCAAAGGATGAGGCAGCCAGAGGGGTTGGGTGTGACACAAACTCACTGCACCGATGGCTAAAAACCAGGAGCAGCACACTTCCACACCTGGAATTGCTTCTCTGAGCACGGAAAACTGTGCCAGAACACAGAGCAGTGCAGAGTGAAGTTACTGCAGCAAGAGGCAGACGAGGAGCAGCTCTAATGAACTATGGGGCACAGCGACCTCCTCACGCAGCAGCCCAGCTGCAGCACACAGGGAAATACTTGGAAAACCTACCTACATCCTGCAGCTGGGAAACAGAATGACACATGTTCAGTGCTGAAAGTGCAAAACCATTTAGTTTTGTCCAGTCAGAGACTGAGTTGTGAGCCTGAGAAACAAGGCCCCAGCAAAAGCAGTTACTGCACGAGCTGTGAAATTCAAGATTAATCCCCTGTGGATTTGCACCCTCCCATCTCACCTCCCTGCAGCACAGTGGCTCAAAACCTCCCTCTCTGCATCACTTCCCAAGAGACAACAGCAGCTCAGAGTGCTCTCAAGTGGGACACAACATGCAGATGGAAGTTTGGCCTCTTATCCTGCTCAGGCAAGAGCTCTGGGAGTGGAGGACATTTCCACCCCTTCTCCAAGTTTGGATCAAGAAGTATCAGGTGGAAGAGATAGACAAATAAATAACATGGCTTATCCTTGCAAAAAATAAAGCTGAAAGGCAGAAAGATGAAAATAAAAAGCCCCTTTCCTACACCCACACCCAGTGCTGCCACAGATACCGGCATCGATTTCCCAAAGCATCCTTTGGGATGATTAACCATAGCAGACGTGCAGGAATCTGTCAGGAGACCTTTAAATCTCCAATTACACTTTCCTCAGAGTCACAAAATCCCACAAATCCCCTCACACCTCGCTGCTCCATTTCCAGTGTGTAAGTTACAGCACAAAGTTGCATGAACAATTTAGCATTTTGCCTTAAATCTCTTCCTTTAATTTGTTAGCTTTCTTGTGGAAAAGCCCTAGATCAGCTCTTATTTTTCATGGTAATGTCAAGAATTACCAGATCAGTGAGTTATGGGACAAAAATCTTATCCTGCCAGCTGGAAAGAAATCTTTTCCTGCTGCTGGGACTCCACTGCACCATTCTGTTGTGTTCAGATGATGGAGTGTTTTTTAGGATCTTCTCCATTTTGTTTCCTAACATACACCAGCCTGGACTAAACATCCCTAACCACAGCATGACAGGGGTTGAGAAATACAAGCCAATAAAAAACTTATTTTCTAAGATCATGAGATAAAATACTCCTAGACAATAAATCATGCAGTTGTCTCATGTCAGATATAAATTCCAGGGTTTTTTTAACAGCCTGGTGAAATGTTGATGAAAAAGCCATAAAAGCAGCAGTAAATTAAATTGCAGTCCTACTTTGGTGCCATGAAATAAACTCAAAAATACATAGGGGAAGAGACACCTGATCTGCTTTTTCATTGTATTCCCAGGAAAGATGATTCTTCCCAACCCAGCTTTGCGGATCCCAGTTCAGGGCCACTGGACTGCTGGGGATTTTCACACCCACAACTCTGCACTTCTGGGATTTTAGGCTCTGCTTTCTGCTGTTCTCTCTCCTGCTTGCTCAGCTTGGCAGGATGAAGTCATTCATTCCAGCTCATTCGATGGGATGCCTCAGGATGAGCGTCACCAGAGGCACTGTGGAGGTGCAGGAGGGCTGAGCAGCAGGAGAGATTAAAAATAATGATTACGGGGATTTTCATCCCTTGTAACCAGTGGGTGCCCTATGCATTACTGCTCAGACCCATCCAGACCTTTCCTTAGGATATCCCTTGATTTAATTAGTAGCCAGACTCCTCATTAAGCTGCTGACACACCAATTCCCACAGGAATCTCAGCTCAGGATTTCCCCATTTATCAGAAAATAAACTCTGTGGAAGCAGGAATCCCCAGCTGAGAGAGCCTGATGAGAGAGCTTAAATCCCCAGGCTCAGGACTGTGAAGGGCTTTTTGAGTTCTGCATCCCGACCTCCCTGGAAGCAGGACTCTGCCATGGAATACAGAGCTTCCAGCACCTCCCCTCCACAGTCAGGGTGCTCTGCCAGCCCAAATGCAGCTCTTAGCTCTTTTAGCCACCCCAAAGACAGTCTTCCCAATATTTTGTGAGCATTCCCAGTTTTTCAGCTTCCTGTGCACTGGGCAGATGTATGTGAGTCCCTGCACTTGAGAGAGGGGACAGGGAATTAGTAGGCAGATATTTAGACTGCAACAACCAAAAATTAAAGTAAGAATTTATTTGGGAATTAGTACTTTGGGAGACACAGCAAAATTCCCAGTGACTCAACCTGAAATTAATGACCAGCTGATCCTGAAGAGGTTGGGAAAAAAAAGCTTTGGCTTTTCCAAGGGGAAAACACAGACATCCGTATGGGAGAGCTCCTGTCTTCTGGATGTTCACATTTCTGAATTCACCTTCCAGGGCACACAAGTCAGGGGGATGCATTCAGACAGCTCTAATTCCATTATATTTTCCCTCCACTAAATTCTGAACTAACACCTATTCCCAGAGTTGCTCCTGCCCCACATCACACTGACAGCAAATTCCCTGTTTAATCTGCCTGTAGAACAGAAAATGCTCGGCTCATAAATCCAAAATCTAGCTCAGAATTGGCCAGATCTGGGCAGTGAGGCACCAAGAGTTAAATCCTGAAGCCCTACCAGGTGTTAAATTAAAGCCATTTCTCAGGCATATCTGGAATGCTGTGACTTTTCAAAAATCCTGGATCTGCCCACGGACAGCCAGATGTACCCACGGAACTGAAAAGAGCTGGTGATCAAGATGTTCCACCAAACTGCCAGACTCTCCAGAAGAAAGGGCACATTTTGAAGACTCATCCAACCTAATCCCACTTTCCATTACACATAGGATAACTCCAAGGGGGCTGGAGCTTACTATTCCTTCCACAACAGTGGCTTTCAGCTTCATTTCCAGGGTAAAATGTCCAACTCACCCACAGGGAATGGACTGGGAATTCTAGAAGGCCACAGCTGTTTCTCAATTAATTTCTGAAAGGTCTGTGCAATCACTGATTCTGAAAGGTCTAGGCAATCACAATCCATCCATCCATCCATCCCTCCCTCCCTCCCTCCCTAAAAGCAAGAACAGACTTGAGAACTTGCTCTGTCCTACTCAAGAGCTGAAATCAGCTCATGGAGAAATCAGTTTAAATGGACAAAAATTCCACCTGCTCAGGGATCTTAGACAATTAAAGCAGAGAATGACTCTGGTGTCTAAATCCAAGGTAAGAAACAGGTAATTTTAGAGAGCCTCTAAGATCATTCCCTGTAAATCCCTCATTTCCCATACACAGATCTACTCTTAAGGCACCAAATGCCCAACAAAACTCCAACATTTCCCAAGGGAACTTCCCAAAGGGCAGCAGGGACAGAGATCAGTCCCTTTGCACATGGCTGAGCCTGCCTGTGCAGCTCTGACCAAATTCCCTCTCCATTCCACCCGGAGATGGCTCCCTTGGGACCGGCCAGCTTCCAACAGCAATGACTACAAGGAGAGCTTTGTCCCACACTCCACAGCCAGAACAGAGCCATGAAAGGCCTCTCCTTTGAGCTTGGACAGATCTCAAAGCCAGGCCAGACACAGCCCCACACAGTCACTCCTGACAAACCACTTTTCCTTCTGCTGCCAAATCCTTCCAACCATCCAACCCTGAAAGGAGCTGTAGCCAGCACTGATTCCCCAGCAGAAAACCTTCCCTCCCCCCGTTATTTTCTTTCTTTGTTTCTTTAAAATGTCAGTGATGACTGAATGACAAGGCACCAAGGGGAGAAAGCTCTCCTTGCAATGATAACTGCAGGCAAAGTACCTCTTGTCCTCCCTGGCATCTCAAAAAACTGGGAATGATGTGGGCAGCAGGAGGAAAGGATGAGCACAAGAGACAATGAGTAAGCACGAAAAACCAGCACAATTTCATCTGAAGGAGTCCACAAACTTTGAAGAGGCAACTGATGAAACAGAAAATCAGTATGAAATGATGCACACAGAGAAAAAAGGCAGCCCAGGAGACCTGCACCATCAGGCTTCACAGAGCCTTTGTGGAGAGGCAGCAAAATAACTGAGAATATTTCTATTAAAGTGGCCATTTCGGATGCAATGGGAAAGCGAAAGATGATGTTGACTGCTGTGTGTAGAAGAAAGAATGCAAAGGACCATCCCACCAGCACAAAGCCATGCCACTCCCACAGCTTGTGTCCTGCACTGAATTCCTTCACTTTTGTCTGAAAAACTGTAAGGAAGAGGGAAAAGAATATTGGAAAGACAACATGGGTGGTGAGAGATAATAAATTATTCCCCTGTGACAGAAGATAATAAAGGATTAGGGTCTTCAGCAAGGGAATTAGTCACTAGAGAGAAGTATGACAGAATAAAACTGTAATTTAAATAAATGTGAACAACGTTCTCTGATTGCTTCTCCCAAGAGCTGGGGCATCAAACCCCCCCCAAAAACCTCTGCTGTTTTTTCTCCTCAGGGTGAATTCAATTTGCATAAAGAAAGATTGCAATTAAGCCAGCTTGTGACCACTTCAGAGTGGGGAAGGGAATAATTTCCTGTTCTATTCGTGGCAGAAAATAGTAATTTGTGTGCTGATAAAGGGAGTTACATATTCACTCCCAAGAAATCCCACGCCTCCCACATGCTGCTGTGCTGTTTCCTTTCTCCAGCTGCCCTGGAGAACTGGAAGCAAGATGTAGCTGTGCAGGAAGGAGCCTTATCCCTGTTCGGGAAAGTAGTCTGAGGGGCCAAAAATTGTCCCAAGCTTGGAATTTCAAGGCAAAACTGTCAATATTTGGACACTGGAGTAAAAAGAACCTGCCTTTGTGAAAAACAAATGTTAAGATTCACCCTGGCAACTAAACCCCAGTAATTCAAAGATGTTAAGCCAGTAGACAGAGCCCAACCCTTCATCTGCTGGAGATTTTCCTGCTCCCGAATTCTTCCCTCCTATCAAAGTTTTAATTGAGAGCAGTAATTCATTACCAACAAATGAAATACAGTTTAAGATGATAAAGGCATTTATTCAGATGCCAGTATCAAAACTATCTTTCAAGTAAATTTACTCATTTTAAGAGCACAGATCTCGTTTGGTAAAGACACTCAGCAATGTGTGCTAACATAAATAATAAAAAATAATAAAATTATTTATTATTTTATTATTATAAAATAATTATATTTATACTGATCTTAATTATAAAATAATAAAAATAATTAAAAATTATTTTCCCAATAATTTTCATTAAAGAGGGAAAAAAATCCCTTTTATTCTAATATAAGAGTTGTCACTCCTTCAAAGCAACTGCTGACAAACACCATTCACAGAGGAATTCACCAGAGTAAGAGAAAAGCACATTCCCTTATCTCCACAAATATCTGTACCACTCCACAAACTCTCTTTTAGAGTAATTTTTATAAAAGGACATTTAAAAATTCCACACATGAGCTGCAAGCACAGCCTGCTCATCCAGGATGCTGAAGGGAGCAAGGTCCTTCCCCTGCTCTCCTGCCTCCTTCCTGAAATCCTGGGCAGAAATGCTGGCCACAGCTGCTTGGCTGAACTGCAGATCATCTCTTCTTTTAGCATGGAACAAATATATAAAATACCTTAGTTTAAATAAAAAAAGAGCCATGTGCTGCTGTGTCACTTCATTTCCAAGCCAAGGGTCTTGCAGGGTGACGAGAGCAGAGCCAGCAGCGCCAGAAAACGCTTCCAGGGAGACTCTAAAAGCCTTCTCTGATAAGAGTGATGGATCTCCTTCCTCCAGAATTAAGTGGAAAATAGGGAATTTGGCACAGCTCCAAGCTCACACTCAGCCTGGCTGATGGAGTCAAACACATCCCCTCTTGCCTCAAAAGCAGCTCCATTTAGGAGCTTTTCCTCCAGAACTTTTTGAAGAGAAAATAATTAAACTGATGTAAGATATACCCCAAATTTATTCCTACCATCACAACCAAACCTACTGTCTTTCAAGTAACTCCTTACACCAACTAAGCAAAGCTGTTAAAAATGGCTTTTTATGGAAAAACACCACCAGTGTGGCACAGTGTGCAAGTAACAGCAAGTAAGTTTGTGGGGGGTGGGGGTTGTATTCTTTTTTTAACTGCAGCTCAGCTCACAAAAATGTACAGGTCCTTTTCCTACACTTCTTAAAAGCAAGAAGTCATAAGTCACTCACCACTGGTGGCACTCAGCGCTTTGATCCCATTTCTGCCAGGCAAGTTCCAGCTCTTCCTTCCCTGGAATAAAAAAAGGTAGTCAGAGGCAAGAAATTCAGTTGTTTTCTCTCCCAGTTTCTTTCTCTGAGGCTGCCAGAGTAACAGAATGGCATAAAAGTCATATATTTGTTAATTTGATAATGCATTTGGCTTGAAAACATCCCATACATATTTTTATCCTCTGGCAGGTCCAACTTAGAAAACTAAGCACCTGCTGATGGCTAAAAGGACAATATAAAACTTAAAATTCCATGTTTAAGTGGCTCCACTGGTTTACAGAAAAGAATAATTGTATTAGCGATAGTATTAAATAACTTCTGTGCATAATAAAAAAAAATTATTTAGATTAGTATCTTTTGTTGCACATCTTTGCTGTAATAAAGATGATTTTTGTTCTATCCTAACTCACCTAAAACCTTATAGACACCTTTGAGGTGGTAAAGAAGGAGGGAATGAAATTAAAGTAACTCCCCTAAGCAAATTTAAAAATAGGTATTGTTTTTATATCTGCATTTGCTGGCAGCAGAGAAAATCCAGTGTGCCACTGCCTAAGCTTGTTTACTTTATATTTATTTTATGGTTTATTTTAGTATCACAGAGAAATGGATGACAGGCTTGAGAAACAACTTTCCCAGCTCTACATAGGTCTCAGTCTATTTAGACTCCTTCAGAAAGCTCAATTGCTAAACACAAAAATTTTTTGTTTAAAGTGCTGCTTCCCACTCCCCTAAAATCCAGATTCTAAGGAAAACAAATAAATCCACAGCCCTGCTGTCAGGTGGAGAGGTCGTACAGCTGAGTGCCAGCCTTCCTGTGGGCCAGCAGGGAATTCCTTACCCCCGCTGGCGTAGGATCTCCTCTCCTCCGCGTCCTCCGTCAGCTCCCACATGTCGCTGTGCGCCCGCGCCAGGCGCCACAGGAATTCCTGCTGCCCGGCGTACTGCAGGGAACACAAACATCCCACATCAGGGCCCGGCCTGGCCCCGAAAAAGGGAGTCAAGAACAAAGGCTGAACAGGGCACTCACAGCTGAAGTCATGCAGGGATTTTTCTAAGCCTTAAAATGCCCCAATTCCAAAGGAACTGAAGCAGAACTGCAGCGGAGGGAAGTGAGGGCAAGTTTAGAACTCGGTGTGGCCACAGGAGCAGGGCAGGGATTGTCCCCCTGTGCCAGGAACTGCAGGGGCACCTCCAGTGCTGTGCCCAGCTCTGGGCTCCTCAAGTCAGGAAAGGCAGTGAGGGAGGGGATGGGGCATGTCCAGGGAAGGGAAGGGACCTGGGGGGATTCAGCCTGGAGAAAAGGAGGCTCAGGGGGGGGAACCTTCTCCACAACTCCCTGACAGGAGGGGGCAGCCAGAGGGAACCGGGCTCTGCTCCCAGGGAGCAAGGGATAGAACAAGAGGAAATGGCCTCAAGCTGTGTCAGGGCAGGTTCAGATTGGACATCAGGAGGAATTTCTTCCTTAAAATGGTGGTCAGGCAACGGAAGGAGCTGCCCAGGGAGGTGGTGGAGTCCCCATCTCTGGAGATGTCCAAGGAATGACTGGACACGGCACTCAATGCTCTGGGCTGGATGACAAGGTGGGGATCAGTTCCAGGTTGGACTTTGAGTGAAGAAATCCCTCCTGATATCTAAGCTGACCCTTTCCTGGTGCTGGAAAATACAACAAGGCACCTTTACCGCCAGCTTGTTGTTGAGGAGCAGCTGGAACCCCTCTCTCTTGTCCTGCTCATCCCCGCTGTGCAGCCGGTCAGCCTGCTCCAGGAGCTGCCCCAGCCCCTCCTCCAGCAAGGAATCCAGGACCAGAGGGGTTTCATCCTCAGGGACCAGATCCAGGGAATCCCTGCGCACAGCCCTCACTGTGTCACAGCTCACGTCGTCCTCCCCTTCCTCGCTCTCCCGCTCCGACTCCCGGTCGTAGTCAGACTCGGCGTTGGCCGTGGTGTAACTTTGGGGGAAAAAAACATCACCAAAGCAATTTGAGGAGCTATTCCTCAGAAGAGGAAGAGTATCTTAGCTTACCCCAGAGAAAACTGCACAACCCAAGTGCCTCACACAACCTCATTTCTTGTATCACCCTCAGAAAGCTGAAGGATGAAGGTGGCAACAAAGTTAAGTCCCAAGTCAGTTTTGAGCAACCTGGTCTATGGAAGGTGTCCCTGTCCAGGGCAGGGGGTGGCACTGGGTGAGCTTTAAGGTCCTTTCCCACCCAAACCATTCCAAGATTCTACTTGTCCCCACCTCCTCTGCACACCCTGTCACAGCTCCTCCCTCTCAGCCCTTCTAACCTCAGGATAAGAGAATTAAACAGCTGAAACCAGAGCCAGGACAATGCAGTTAAATGTACAGGTGATAAAAGGGAATTTCAACAATCCCTGCGCAAAAAAAAAACATAACCTCAGGGTTTTAGCCTGTTCCAGGGAATGTCAGGCACAACAGCTGTCCTGGCAACACCTCACACCTCCACCACCCCGAACATTAAATGCTACACAGCCTGTTCCCACTGCCACCTGGAAAGCTGCAGAACAGTGGGAAAACCACCAGAATTATATCCTGCCAGCAAGGAATCCAGCAAGGGTTCACCACATGTGCAAAAACCCAGGGAATGACCAGCAGCTAAACTAGTCAGTCAAACCAGGACATGAGGGATTATGGAGGTTTATGACATGAGATTATGGAGGTGCTGGTGGGACTCCCTGACTTTGGAGGTCTCTCCCAGCCTCAGTGTTCCTGTAAAGCTCCTGAAAATGGTGAAAATTAAGCTACTAAAGCTGGGAATTAAAATTTGAAATTTAAACCAGCGTTACACAGTGGTACCACAGCAGGAGGGAGTCTACTTACAGAGCTGATTCCCTTTCAAACAAGACTATCTGTGCCCCTCAGTTTTACCTGAAAACCCTTAACTAGAGAACAGGCACAAATCAGCCAGTCATGTCAAAATGTGCACTTGACCACGGGGATTTTGTTGATTTAAGTCAGGAACTGCCCAAGAGAACTTCAGCAGTTCTGCTGGAACTGAACTCCCTGCACTCTGGGGGCACTGGGTACTTCCAGCTGTGCTTCCCTCTCTCCTGGCTGATTGCTCCTCCCAGGGACAGCTCTGTGGCCCTGTCTTTGTCTGGTGACACAGATATGTGACCACAGCCCCTATCTGACAGAGGCAGTGACAGGGCTTTACCCATACACAGATAACAAGACACAGCTGGCTATCAAAACTTCCTGAGAACCATCCCTAATTCTCATGAATTCTCCTCTCTGGTCCCTCACCACAGCCTCCAACCCTCACCCAGACATTCAAAACCCCACCATGTTGTCCTGAAACGTTTTAAGGAAGAAACAAAGCATCAGCCTCAAGCTGCAAAGGCAGGAAAGCAAGGATGCATGCTGGAGATGACACTGAACTAATGGATAACACATCAAAACAAGGGTAGGTGACACTGGCACGGCTCTGTCTCAGATTAAAATCCTCATTTATTTACATTTCTTAACATTAATGGCATCATTAGTTCTCTAGACCTCCTCATTTCCAGTAATTAAACTCCTTTAACTCCCTGATTTCCCCATCCTAACCCCCAACATGTTACTGGCAGCTGCCAAGATTTTGGTCCTTCAGCTCAAAAAACAACTGTGTTTTCTGAGAGAAGCCCCTATAAGATTCTGCCAGTTCAAAAAGACAAGGAAATGCCAAGTTTTCAGGAAGATTAAGGGATTTAGGTGTTATCAGCCTGTTTTCAATGTTTACAATGATGGAAAGCTCTGGAATGCTTTAATATGGTGATCCTGAAGGAAAAGAGAGCCCATGGGAAGAGAAGGTGAAGAAGCCCAAAATCTAAAGCCACACAGGAAAATTAAGCAGCACAAGCCACCTAAAAACTCTTGGGAGATTTTTGGGAATTGTGTCTGAAATTGGAGAAGCTGCTCATGCCCACATGGTTTACAAAATAAAGCTGAAATGGGGGTTCTTTGTTCTGAATTTCACTGAAAGAATTCAGCTGTCAGCAAGGAACACCCAGCTGAAATCCATCTGTTGGCAACAGGCTCATTCTTCCTCCCAGTGCCTGGCCCAAAGCTTCAATAGTTTTTTTCCAAAATTTACATTTCCTACCCTGAAAATGTTACTTTTCAAGCACATTTACATCCCTAGCAGCCAACACTGCACACTACAGGCAGCTGGTCCTGACCTGACTGATAATTTTGTACCTCTGTGTAGGACCAGAGTGAGGCATTACCTGAGATTCCAGTTTTAAATCAGGTGAGAGCTGCTAATCAATCGATCCCCACACTGATCATTACAGCTAATTACAGATGTTAATTAAAAATGTAAGGACTCCACCAACAACCACTGGATTCCAAATAAATTAATGAGGTTTTGCAGTAAAATACACCCCGATCCCCTCAAGAGGTGTCTTTTCTGTAACTCTGAATTCTTGGCCTCTGTCACAACTCACAATTTTCTGTGATCTGAGGACAGCCAGGGCTGGGATGTGTGGACAAAACCCCCTTTTCCAGCAGTTTTACACAAACTATTGTCCCCCTGGTGACTCAGTGCACCTGCTGTTACCCAAATATCCAAGTCCTGCCTTCAGAACCAACTCCACAGTTTCAAAATCTGTTCTGCAGCCTCGTTACTTATTACACCACCGTGAATCACCTCTTCCCTAATTTCCTTCTCATTCCAACACCCACTTGAGCTGAATGAAGCTCTAAAACCCCAATGAGATCACAGCAGCTCCCTGCTACCTCACCAGCTCCAGTTATTAGAGATAAACATAATTTAGGGCAGTCACAAATCCCTATCCTTTGCCCTGGGAGGACAAATCCCTGCTGAAATGCCACCAGCCCCCAGATCATTTGGCTGCCCAAATTCCCCCTGGAATGCTCCCACTGCTCTAAAATCCCTCTGTAAATGACATTTCATCCCCAGTGCTCTGGGAAAATGTATACAGCAGCACCACCTGGTTTGGGTGGTGCTTCCATACCCCAAAAGCTACAAAAGTGGTCAGATTCAGGCATAAAAGAGCAGCACTTCCTCAGAAAATCAGCAATCATAGGTGCAGGAGAACTTGTTACCTGTCTAGCAAGACTAAACCCACAGCTATATTGGCATTTTTAATGATGTTCTTATACCACACAGAACTCTTCTGTCATGCACAGGGCCAGGAGTTGGACTTGGATGATCCTCCTGGGCCCTTTCCACCTCAGGATATTCTTTGATTTGATCACTTTCATATAATATATATTGTCCACAAATTTGATTTGCAAACTCTCTCGCTCCATTGCCAGGCTGGACTCGCACTTCCTTTCCTTCTGCAAGGTTCTTTAATCAAATTACTTCTTTAAAACCTAATAAATTTATTTTTTCTTCCTTTCTCTAAAAGTCAGGATCGTTTCAGATCTCTCAGTCTGGCCCTGGCAGTAACACACTTACTGTAATAAAAGCAAATTAAAACAGGCTGCAGGGGAAGAAAATTCCCTTCCCTATGTTCTGTACTGCCCAGCTGTGGCACCAAATCCCCTAAAACATCTGTCCCAGTGCTCTGCTTACCCCCCTTCACTCTCTCCATCATCTATGTTGATATTCCCTGAGCTGGCTGTGAAATAAATGGAGCTGGAGCCTGTGGAGTCACTTCTCTCCCTGGGGAAGGGGATCCTCCTCCGGCGAGTCACGCGCTGGGTTTCTTCCAGGTGGGTCCTGGAGGAAAAAGGAGAGAAATAAATCTTTGGTAGTGAGACATCTGCTATTCCCCTTCTCCTCTCCAGCAGACTTCACCCAATTCCCTTTATATCCAAAGAACTCACAAGGTGGTGTATGCTGTTTGTACAAACTCAAATGGAGCTAATGTTGTGTTCTGCAGCTAAAGCAAATCCTCCTCCATGGACAACCCATGGACAATGCAAACAGAATCCACAGATGTGATGTTCATCCAGCCTCTGCATCAGGAGCTGGAGTGACAGAATGGGTTCAGACTGGAAGAGGGGAAATTTAGGTTGGATACAGGGAATGAATCTTTCCCTGTGAGGGTGGTGCAGCACTGGAATGGATTTCCCATAGAAGCTGTGGCTGCCTCATCCCTTGGAATTGTTCCAGGCCATGTTGGATGGGGCTTGGAGCAACCTGGGATAGTGGAAGGTGTCCCTGCCCATGGGTGGGTGAGCTCTGAGGTCCCCCCCAGCCCAGTCATTCCCAGGTCCTGGGATCCTGTGGCTGTTTTCCCATGCCAGGGAGGGACTGCTCCAAGCCCAGGAGAGAGGAGCAGTACCTGACTTCCCCAACGATCTCCACCGCCAGGTGCTGGAGGCTGTTCCGCAGCTCCTCCACCTCCTTCCTCAGCTCTACGATGCTCCTCACCATGCAGTCCAGGCGCTCCAGCAGCTCCAGCTCCCCGTCCCTCTTCAGCAGGGGGCTGGGCATGGCTCCATCGCCCGCATCCGCCGGGAGCAGCGCTCTGGGCATGGTATGGACTGCACCAGAGCACAACGAGGCCGTTAGATCCAAGCGGGAAAGGATTCCAAAGGGGATGGAAATCTGACCAGTTCTGTGTGCAGGGGAGGCTTGATAGGGATACCAAGGTGATCAGAGGGGTGGAGCAGCTCTGCTGAAGGGAAAGGCTGGGAGAATTGGGATTGTTCAGCCTGGAAAAGTGAAGGTGCTGAGGTGACCCAACTGTGCCTTCCAGGGCCTGAAGGAAAATTGGAAAGAGACTCTTTGAAAGGGCCTGGAGGGACAGGACAAAGGGGAGCAACTCCAAACTAGAACATGGGAGATTTGGATGGGATATTGGGAAGGAATCTTTCCCTGTGAGGGAGCTGAGGCCCTGGCACAGGCTGCCCAGAGAAGCTGTGGCTGTGCCATCCCTGGAAGTGTCCAAAGCCAGGCTGGATGGGGTTTGGAGCTACCTGGGATAGTGGAAGGTGTCCTTGTCCAAGGCAGGGGGTAGAACTGGATGAACTTTAAGGTCCCTTCCCACCCAAACTATTCCAGGATTCCATTATTCTATGATCACCATCAAAAGCACGGTTTCACTTTCTGTTCCCGAAGTTTCGCAAAGACGTGGGTGAAGCCCAGCGAGTTCAGGGTTCTGAATTAGCATTTCTAAAAGCCCAACATCCCAACCTCACTTCCCCCTATCCCGGTCCCACTCCCCCATTCCACCCCATGCCCCGCATTCAATCCCTATCCTCCCCTACCCCAGCCCCATTTCCCCCATTCTTCCTTTTCCAATCCCATTTCCCGCATTACAACGCCACTCCCGCCGTTTCAATCCCATTCTTCCAGCTCTAATCGCGTTTCTCCCTACTCTTCCTACTCCAGCCCCATTCCATTTCCTCCATTCCAGCTCCATGCCTATCCCATTTTCCCCATTCCCTCTATCCCAACCCCAATTCCAACGCCAACTCCAGCCCCATTCCTCTCGATTCCACCCCCGCTGCGCATATTCCAGCCCCGTTCCCCACATCCCGACCCGGCTTCCCCGCCGCCCGATCCCGCTCGTACCGTGGCGCGGCGGCTTCGTCGTCTCCTTGGAGCGGCGGCGCATGGCCCAGAGCAGCCCGAAGCAGAGGCCGGCGCCCGCCGCCAGCCCCAGCGCCATCCCCAGCCGGGGCCCGGCCCGGGCCGGCTCCGCCACCGGCACCGCCATGGCCGCTCCGGGCGCGCGCCACCGCTCGCGGCGCGGCGCGATGACGTCACGGAGAAGCGCAAACGGGGCGGGAAGGGGGCGCTGTCTACGGGCGCGTGACGTCACCGGCGCGCGGGGCGGCGAGCGCGCGCCTGGTGCCGCCTGAAGGTGGAGGTGGGAGGGGAGCCGAGCCCGGCCGTGGGGCTGTGTCACCCTCCGCAGGTGTCACCGCCGTCCCACAGGCGCTGGATCCGCAGAATGTCCCGGGAAAAATCCCTCCAAGGCCGCGGGCTCTGCACCCGCTGCCACCTCGGCACCTGTCCCGCGGTGGTGCCCGCGCCGTGACCCGGGTGCGGGGGGGACAGGCCGGGTGTCCCCGCACAGCCCCGCGTGGGAGGAAACCCCGCTGGGTTTGGGGTTCGGCTTCCGGCAGCGAGGGACAGAAAAATGGGAACTTGGGATGCCCCAGGGAGCTGAGTGGGACAGGGCTGTTGTAGTGAGGGAGTTGGGCACGGGGCTGGCTGTGGGAGTGTGGGCACAGAGCCACCGGTTTTTGGGATGAGATAGTGAGTTTTAGGTGGAATAGGCACAAAGGAGACAGGAATGGCCAAACAATCATCCCAAGCGTTTGGGGTTGGTATTCTCCCTTCTGCAGGAAATGTGGTGGGCTGTTACATTCCTGGTGGGATCCCTCAGGAAGAACTTATTTATCCCAGAATCACTGAAACTAGAAATACCCTTTTCTGGAAGAGCAAAAAGGTTCCTTAGGAAAATGTGCCAGTCAGGAGAAGGAAAACCAAGTCCTTTGTGTGCTCTCCCCACTTCTGGGGGTTTGGGTGACAGCAGGATTTGGACAGAGCCAAAGAACCTGCTTCCCTTTATCTGTATTATTGGGAGCAATTCCGAGCCAGCCCAATCCAAGGAGAGCTGGGAGCAGCCAGCTCGGAGCCAGAGGGTGATAAGCTGCTTTGGGATGATGGATGAGATCCATCAGTGGTCCGGCTGCCTCCCAGATTTCGGTATCTCCTCAAGAAATTCAATATTAAAATGTTATGTATAACTCTGCTCTCATTTCCCTCTTTTTTCCTTACTATCTTTTTTTCCCCAGGAAAGAGCCATGTCAGACACAGAGCTGGGCAGGCTGCCAGAACCCTGGCTAGTTTTTCTTTAATTTCTGGAAAGGTCTGGATTTCATATCCGTATTATTGCCTGCATAAGCACAGGCCACACGTGTCCAGCAGAGGTCCAGAGGGGTCATGGATTATGGGAATTCTGTCAAAATCCAACCCAACTGGGTGAAATGTGCCCTTGGTTCATTGGGTAACAGGTTTGCACTGGACAGGAGAGCAATGAGCAAACATTCCAGCTGTTCCAGGACTTGGGGAAGAGGCTCTGCTGAGGATGGGAATGATCAAAACAAGCTGATGTTTAACCCCTGTGTTCCCAGATAATAACTCAACAGCCAGTGGAAAAACAGATTTTTCCCAAAAAAATGTTGGTAATGCTGAATATTCTGCTTCAGGGGAACGTTTGGTTGGACTGTGGGGTAGGACAGGGAATGCTCTGCAGGGCCCACGGCTCCCCACGTGCCTGGCTCCTGCTCCATCATCTCCCAGTCCTCATCTCCCTGCTGTTATTTCCTGGTCCTTTATCTCCCTGCTATTAATTTCCGTTGTCCTCGTCTCCCTTATCCATCATCTCCCTGTCCATCATCTCCTTGTTCATTGCCTCCCTGTTCATCATCTTCTGTCCTCCATCTCCCTGCCCTCCGCATCCCTGCAGCTCATCTCCTGGTCCACCTTTTCCCTGCTCATCATCTGTCCCCCGTCGCCTCCTGCTGCACCACCTTCCAGCCCTTCACCTCCTGCCCATCCCTTGTTGGGACGGCAGCGCCCAGATCCCGAAGGACCCATCGGAGCCCCGCGGTGCCCCCCGACCCCTTTGGGAGCCTTTTCCCCCGCGCTGCCCGGGGGCGGCGGTGGCGGGGCGGGACCGGGGGCGGCCCCGGGCACGGTGCCCCCGGAGCGGCGGCGGTAGCGGCGGAGCGGAGATGCCCTACCTGCTCATTAGCACCCAAATCCGTCTGGTGAGTCCCGGCGGGACCCCCGGGGACGGGGAATTCCCGGGGGCGGACAGGGACCGACCGGGGCGAGCGGTGAGACCCGCTCAGCCCGCGGTGTCGCCGGTGCTGGTCCTGCTGCTGCTGCTGGAGGGGGGTCGGGGGGTGACCCCCAGCACGGCCAGGCTGTGCCCCAGCGGTCGTGGCCGGTGTGGGGTGTCCGGCACAACTCCGTGAGAGCCCCCGGTGCCCCCGTCCCGGCTCTGCTGCCCCCAAACCCTCCTGTCCCGAACAGCGACTGACTTGGGAAACTTGCGGCGGGATCCCACGAACGCCAAAGGGACGGCTCCACTTGTCCTCACAGCTGGTTTTTCCCTCGTCCCCAAAGAGCCATTCCAGGGTGGAAAAGGCATGGCTGGAGCTGACAGGAGCCGGGCAGTGGTTGGGATCTCTGGCTGGCATCACCGTCGGGGAGCACTGGTGGGATTGCTGCCTGTCACTGTCAGATAAAGCCACAAAACAAACGCTACTCCCCGGCACTGGCAGCACCCACATCCTGCAGCACTCTGGAGGAGCCCACAGCTGTGTGTTCATCTGGGCTTTCCCTTCTCCCGACAATCATCCCTCCCGAAGCCTGGATCTGCCGGTGTGGTTTGGGGCAGGAAGCAGGGACAGTGGAAACAGCAAATGAGCAAAGGGAGGGAGTTGTGATGGGCACTGCTACTGCTGCCACTGGAGATGTCCCAAAGGAAGCAGCAGGGGGTGGGGAATGGGGATGTGGGGATGCTGCAGCACCAAAGCATCTGCTGGCAGTGGCATTTGGGATCGTGCAAGATGACTGAGTGATTTTGGATGAGGAAGGAGCACATGGAATATGGCACTGGAGGGAAGAGCCTGGCGCAGCTGGGGTCAGTCTGCCCTCCAGAGACTTTGGAAACTCTGCTCTTTACCAAAGGGGCAAAGCAAACATTTCCAGTGTCAAACTTGGCACGGAGCTGAGGCTGGAAACTTCCCATCTTGCCCTTACACGGGTGAGCAGCTGCGCCTTCCAGGCAGTGGCTGGGACTGAGCCCCTCCCAGGATGGGCTGATGGCAATTCTCTTCCTTAAGGGCTCTCACTGGAGCTGTGTTGGGCTCGTGTGTTGGGGTGGCCGTGTCACCACGTGTCACTCACCACTCTGTGCCTGTCCCACAGGAGGCTGGGCCCACCATGGTGGGCGACGAGCACTCGGATCCCCACCTGATGAGTATCCTGGGGGCCACAAAGAGGAGCACGCTGGGGAACAACTTGTAAGTCCTCCTCTCCTTATTTTCCCCAAGAAACGCAGAACTTTTTCACTCCTGGAATTCCCCACAGCACCTTCCAGCTGTACAGTTAATCCCAGGACTTGCATGTGTCCTGTTAATGAGGAAATGCTGCCTGGTACTTCACTTGGTTCTTTATTTTCCCTTGCTCCGACCCTGTTTTAGCACCCGACCCCCCTTTCCCTGTCTCGGTGCCGTCCCTGCCTTGCTCTGCCTGTGGCCTTTCTGGGTGCTGAGACACCCAGAATGCTCACCCATTTCTGTCCATCCTGTCCCTCCCAGCTGCAGTTTGTCTGTCCATCCCATCCTGCTCTCCAGTGCAGCTCGAGGTTTCACCTGAGCCAGCCCTTGCCAACAGCTCCCAAATCATTTCCATGGGCAGCTGATCCCTGGGTTTGGAGCTATTTCCCATTGTGTCACCCCTGACTCCAACCCCTCCACTGGCGTGTTCCCAAGCTGTGGATATTTGACACTTCTCCATGTCCCCACCTCTGCCCACACTGAGTTTGACCCCAGCCTTTGGCCAAGTACCACTCAGAGTTGTGACCAGCATCTTCCTCATGGCTTGACCCACATTTTTTTTTCTTTTTTCTTCACTTGATATACCACTTCTTGGTTTCCCCTGGGGGAAAAAACCCAAAAACCCCTCAAAAAACCAAACCAACCAAACAAAAAACCCCAAACAAACAAAAACACATTAAAAAAAAAGAAACCACACACAAAAAAAAATCCCACAATGGCAAAGCAAAACAAACCCCCAAATGCAAAAGAACTTGACAGAGAGGAGCAGCTCAATTCCTCCTGTGTCCAGTGTGCCATGGTGTGGAGTAGGAAAAGAAGGAGAAGGATAAGGCATTAAAAAAGAAGGTGCATCTCATCCCAAACGTTCCCAAGCTTCAATCCATGGAGCTGGGAAAACCTTCCTACTCGGCACCAGCCTGGCCAACCAAGGGCTGGATCCTCAGCTGCTGCAGCACTAAAAATCTGAGTGGGGTGGGAAATTTTAATAGTAAGGAGGATAAAATGTAACTATTGAGGCCCCCCCCACCCCAATCCCAGCTGAATTCCTGAGGGGTTTGCTGGGCTGATCCAGCTCCGTGCTGCTATTCCCAAGCCCGTGGGTGGGCAGAGATTGGCAGCACCGCCAGCTGCCACCCGCCGTGCAGAGCCAGGAGTTGTGCAACGGGATGGGAGACAGAGCTGGGGAGGAACACAACAGGCTCCAAGAAGGAACTGGATCCTGAGAGATTTGGGCAAGGATCCCTGGGATTCAGGTGGAAAAGGAAGGCAAAGACAGATAAAAGCCCCTGTGGTGCCTGCCCCAGCAGCTGCGGGAGCCGCAGCACTGTAAGGAACAGAAGCACCACGTTCTGCTTGTTTTGGGGAAGGGATACAAGCTTCCTATGGGATCTCCCTGGTGGATTCACCACCTCTCTCCCCTCCCTGTGGCCTGGAGCATTTGAGCACCTCTTGCCCCACCTGCTCCTTGGCATGGCCTGTCACAGCTGGGAACTCAGCTGTGTCCCCGTGGCACATCCCTACGGCACATCCCTGCGGCACAGCACGTCCTCCCCGTGTGTGCCTGAGCAACAGGCAGTGGGGAAAGTCCCCTGGCTGGAATGTGGCTGCTGGCACCCCCGAGAGCATAGCCACGTGCCAGTGGGGTGAGCCTGGCCGCCTCCTCCAGAATCCCAACCAGGGCTGGGAGCTCCAGGATCTGCACTGTGGCCGAGCAGGATTTTCCATCCCTAATTCCTTCAGGAGCAGAGCGTGGCTATGGATGCTGCAAACCCCATTCCTGTAGCACCTTGGGCCCCAAAACTTTAGCCATGACTTGTAGGGAGCCTGAAAGAAAGAGCCTGAGCAGCGCAGACCTGCTGGAAACTGGGATGTAGAGGTGAAACTGAAATCCCTGTAACGAGGGAGTGCACGGATCATGTTGCGCAGCTCTGCACAGACACACGGCCCCTCATTAAGTCTCAGAAGGTGTGGGAAGCAGGGATGTGGTCCCTGCCCTCTCACTCGGGGTCAGAGCCCTTGGGGCATCCAGGTGGGGCAAGGGCTGGGGTGGGGGTTTACCTGAAAGAAAAGGCTTTGCAGGTATCCCAGCCCCTCCGTCCTGACTGGATGCACATGCAGATGGCAACATATCTGATAGCCACAGTGTGCAATCTTCACTTCCCTCAACACACAGCTGGGATAAAGCCCTGGAAACTCTTCCCTCCTGCTTTTAACTCAGCTACTCCGTTTTTTAGGTTCCTACAAATCCCTGTCTGCTATTTCCTCTGAATAATGCAAATAATATTTACCAGCTCCCACTATGAATCTGAAGGGTATGTGGCAACCCTTCTGGAGAAAGAACAGACTTCAAAGACACTTTTAATAATGCACATTATCTTTACACCACATCTATAATTACAGCCAAGTACAGTCTGTCTTGAGAAACTGGAAAATCTCTCACATCTCGGGTTATTTTGTGCTTTAAAGCACTCCCAGCTCCAGTACGGCTCTGAAATCCAAGAAGGAGCAGTTTTGGAACGGCTTTTGGAGATCTTTTTTTATCATTATTAGTAGGAAAAGCAGGAGAGGCTTTGTTCAGGTGCCCAAACAGGATCCCCAGTGATCCTGCAACCCATCATTATCTGCTTATCCGGCACTGCGAGTCAGCTACAGCTGAGCTGCTCTGGGCCTTATTCCAAAAGTTGTGCCAAAGGAGAGCCTGGCACATCCAGTGCCAAAGGTCCCACTGGCCAGCTCAGCTCAGCTGTCCCCACCCAATTCAGCCCAGCCTGTGCCTGGTCCCTTCACTGGGAAGCAATGTCACAGCCCTTAAACTTCTGGGATTGAGGGATAGGAATGTGGGACAGCTTCTGCTCCAAGCATAAAGCCAGCACAAACCAACGGGGAATCAGAGCTGGACAAGGATCAAAGATCCCGGTATCGGCTCCCAGGCACTGCTGGAACTTTGGAGCCTGGGCTCCACCTCGCCTACTGGCTTTCCAAAGGTTTCCCACCTGGCTGAAACCAGCACCTTGCTGCAATCGCCAAATTCCAACAGTCTCTCAAACCCACCCATCTCACGGACATGCTCTGACATAGGTAGAATGTTGTGATTTCATTCCTTAGAAACACCTGAATCATTCCTCTCCTCATCCATGAATTCCTGGGTGTTAAAAATGTGCTCACTGTGTTTACTTGTGAATCCTCAGCTGCAGCGTCAGCCCAGTTACCGAGCAGCATGTGGCTCTGGACACCAGCCCCACTGAGCCACATTCCCATTCGACCTGATCCTTCCCTCCTGGACAGGATTCCCGTGGCTTGGCACCTTGGGCTGTGCCTTCCCCTGGGGTTAACCAAGGCCCTGTGTCACACACACACCTGTGCCAGGTGTGGCCGCTGGTCTTACAGGGATCAGGAGCGAGGCAGGCTCATTTCCACCAGGAAATTCCCACCTCTTCCTCCCCCAGCTCACCTTATTCCCATCTTTCCTGGATGCAGCAGTGAGTACTACGTGAACGACGCTCCGCGCGTGGTCCTGGACAAGCTGGAGAGCCTCGGCTACCGCGTGGTCAGCATGACCGGTGTGGGCCAGACCCTGGTCTGGTGCCTCCACAGGGAATAGCCAGGGAGAATCCTGCATTCCGCCCAGACAACATCCTGCTGGAGATCATCTTATACGACCGGCAGCAAATTTTTCCCCCCTTAATTCCTTCCTGTCCCAGACTCCAGGCACTCGGGCAGGGGGAGGAACGGCACAGAGGCAGAGCTGGACCCAGTGGAATTTTGCCATCCCTGTTTCATTTCCCAAGAGCAGGGGGAGGAAGGTGTGCCCAGAATCAGGCAGAGGGAACAGATGGCTCCAGCTCTGCCTTCAGCAGGATGGCAGTCTGGCAAATTCCAGCTTTTTACATTTTAATCATGTATTCAGCATGTCCTGGAGGAAGCTCAGTAACAGCCCTGTTTGCCTCCTCCTCGGGCTGCCCCGGAGAGCTCTGTGCCTTCTCCTGGGTCAGGGGTTAGGGAGGGACACCAAGCATGGACACCATCCCATCTCATCCCTGAAAACCTAAGGGGGAACCACTAAACCTACTCCCAGTGCCCTGAGAATCCCTTCCCTTTGACAGCAAGGCCCGTTTCCATCTAAGCAGCACCACCAAACTTCCAGATCCCAGACTGCCATCCAAGCCTAACATGGGATTCCCAAAATAACACAGAAAGGTTGTGTGACTATTCCAGGTGCTAATCCAAACACTGCTGGAACATCTGGAATTATGCATGGATCCTGCTGTGGGGTTAGCACCAATAAAACATCGCTCAAAGAGACCAATGTCCTTCTGTGGGTTGTTTAAAACTGCTGCCGGATCCCTCTGGATGCATCTGGATCCCAAATTGAGCTTTCAGGAATTAAAAGCTCCAAGGTTTGGTCGTTCTCATGGCATCTCTCACATCCTGTCCCATGGGATAGGGCAGTTGCTCTGCACACACACATGGTAACACCTGTACTTTGTGAACCCCAAGCATTCCTTCCCCAAACCTGGAAAGGGATCAGGGCTGCAGTCCCTGGGAGATTCTATTCCCACAACACCTTTAAAAAGAAAGGAGGTTTATTGACTTAAATTAAGAAACAGCTCTGGGGGGACGGAGGGGTGGGGAGAATCCATACTCTCATGCTAAGTGTGAGACTTTTCCTCCTCATCTTCCCGCTGGAGCTGCTCGATGAGCTGCTGCCTCTCGGCTGCCTGGCGCATCCTCATCATCACCAGGCTCTCGTAGTCCCGCTCTGACACCACCGACGCCTAGGAAGGAGCAGGAAACACACACAACCCATCAGGGACAGCACAGACTCCCAGACCTTCCCCAAATCCCCCTCACACCACCAGCATTCCAGGCAGGAAGCGGTTTTGATCCCACAGAAATCAGGTGAGGTGGGTGAAAGCTTCCTGGCTACAGGAAATAACCAGGAATTGTTATTAAAATTATTATTACAAATAACCAGCAATAAGTGTGGTTGATGAGGAAAGTGAGACAGACAGAGCCAGCATTCCATGAGGCTGGATGGGGCATTATTTTGGATGACAAGATCACCCTGCACCAACAACGTTGGTGCCCAAAGTCCAGCGTACACTTCACCAGTTTTAAAGGTTAATGCCATAAAAAAATCAAACCTTTGTGTGGATTAGTCATGAAACTTCCAACTGTCTGATGGTGGTGAGGCGCTGGCACAGGCTGCCCAGAGAAGCTGTGGCTGCCCCATCCCTGGAAGTGTCCAAGGCCAGGTTGGATGTGGCTTAGAATAACCTGGGATAGTGGAAGGTGTCCCTGCCCTGAGGTGGAACTGGATGGGCTTTAAGGTCCCTTCTCCCCCAAGCCACTCCATGAGTCTAACAGTTGCAATCAATGACCTTAGAGGTCTTTTCCAACACAAACAACTCCATGATTCTAAGCAACTGCAGAAAGAAAAACACCAGCGATATTCCCAAGCCTGACACAGGAATGGAACAGTTTTCCAAAGCTCCCAGAGCCTTTCTGCTGCGTGTGGCAGCAACTGTCATGTCAAGGCAGTTGATTGCAGACTCTGCCTAATGAACGTGGGCAGCAGATGACAGCTGCTCCGGTGCTTTGGCGCTGCTTCCAAAGCCATTCCACACTAGTAGGTGGCCGTGCTATTTTGGATGTATGAAAGCACTGCAAGGCTTGGAAACATCCAGCTCGTTCCTTGACAGTTCAGGTGGAAATAAGAGTGTCTTGACGGAAGGTGAATGGAAAAAACCCCACTTCATATGCATTTTTCTAGGAAGCGGGTTAAGTGGTGATCACAGAGAATCACGGAATCCCAGAATGGTTTGGGTGGGAAGGGATCTTAAACATCATCTGGATCCACGTGCCATGGGCAGGTACACTTTCCACTAACCCAGGCTGCTCCAACCTGGTTCTGAACACTTCCAGGGATGGGGCAGCCACAGCTTCTCCAGATATTGAAGGATTTCTTAGGAAGCAGAAGGGATACAAAAGCAATAGAATGCCTAAGTAAGATTCTGCATGGAAACATGGGTGAGTGCAATTCCTTATCCCGTGCCAGCAAAGTGGTTCCTCCGGCTGCTGCGAGGACACAATGAAAGCCCACAACAGATAAAGAACATCAAGAGGGAAATTAAGAGTCTAATTGGTGTCTTAGGAGCCACCTGAGCGAAATGACCTTTGGGTACTGGTAGCAGCAGTGTCTGAGAAAGCACTGATGGTATCAGCCCTCAGCCAGGATCCTTCTAAGTCCCATCCACCAACCCCAGGAATTTGCTGGGCTGGATGGAAGAGGCTGCATGAGACTCATGCAGATGAATCACCCACACAAACCTGAAGCCCCACCTCACACTGGTATTGAAATTTAAAACAGCCAGGAGATTATTTGCAGCCTGGTTTGGGAGCTCTGCTGACACGAGAAGCCCTCGGAGTGGCGGGAGGGAGAGCAGCCTGATCCAGGTGGGCTCCCAGCACGTGCTCCTGGGTGCCTGAGCGTGGGCTGAGGCTCTGCCACTCCACACACCTACTTCCTGCAATCCTGGCAATTACCAATCGAGTAAAACCCAGTTTCTGACGTGGCTGACTCAGCAAGGGCTTGGCTCAAAACAAACACATCCACGCAGGGAGCCGCAGCCCGGGAAGCAGCGACGGGTGGCTCATGAAGGGACGGCAGCGACAGCGCTGGGGAGCTTTGGCATTCTGGGTCCAACCTGGCTGAATTCCTGGACTCCTGGCTGAGCTCTCCCTGGAGAGCTTCTTCATCCTGGTGAGTGTGGCAGACCCAGTTCTCCGAGTGCTCCAGCAGCTTCTCCTCTCCGCTCCTGGATTCCGGGCTGATCCAACAGGGCGTAAGTCTCCTCTGCACTCCGTTCTCCCAACGCTGTCTCCCGTGTTGCTGCTTTTTACATCCCCCTTCTCCTGTATTCCCTGGGTTCCTTCGGTGGGACTGAGTCACTGTCTCGTTCCCAGCCACCCACGGCGCTTTTCCGGCAGTGCCCCTCCGCAGAAGGTGCCTGGTTACCATGGCACCCGAGTGCCCTTCTGTTCTAGATGCCAGATTAGATCTGTTCTCATGGTGACTGTGCCTCTGCTGTTCCCCACCAGCCCGGAGCCGCAGCACACGTTTGACGAGCTCCCTCACGGACCGCCGCTCCTCTCCACTCCAGGGGGAAACTCCTTGAGATCCAAGACGAGCCAAGCGCTCCTTGCCACGGCGTGGACTTCGCATTTCCTGCACTACCAGCCTCTCTGTTTTCCTTGCAGCTCCAGGAACGGGGCAGGAAGAGGTTGTTCCTGTTGCGTGGCTCTCTGCTGATCCCTCGGCTCCCGCCTGTGAGGAGCCAGCATTCCTGCTCCTCGCTGCCTTTCCTCAGCATGGATACTTGGCGCAGGGGGTCCATCAAGTCCACCACCTTCTTCCGACGCTTCTCCCTCAGGAGGCACAAAAAGCTGGGCAACCAAGTCATCATCCTGAACCAGAACAGCCACACTCTGGACACAGATGGCCAGAAGAGGGAATGCTTGAGGGATCTGAAGGACAAGTCTGAGTACCTGTCCTGTCAGAGTGAGCAGAACCTGGCCAAGGCACAAGCCCCTCCCAAGCCTCCCCGGCTGTACCTGGACAGTTCCAGCTGCCCCAACATCATCGATCGCACAGATTCCCACTCTGACCTCTCCTTTTCCGACGCTGCTCCGTACCACAAAGCCACTCCAACGCACAAGGACCAGGCTACAGACCGCGGCACCTCAGAGGCAGGTCTCCCGAACAGCACCACTCTTCCCGACCTGGCTGACCCCTTCCTGTCCTTCAAAGTGGATTTGGGGCTATCACTCCTCGAGGATGTGCTGCAGACCCTCAGGAAACAGAACCCGAGGGATTACACCATTTGAAGGTATTCACTGTCCATCACATCCCAGTTACTCACTGCTGCTGCCAGTTCCTCCAGTTCCGGCGGGAGGAAGGATACTGGAGCATGCCTGTTGTGTGTGGCCTGTTTTGTTGTCCTCACCTCGCCCACCACAGACCATCCCTGTCCTTGCCAAGGATTCCTCTGGAGCAGAGCTCATGGGCTCCGTGTTCAGGTGAGAACACAGTCTTCTGTCTCATGGGCAACTTTCCACTCTCCACCCCGGGGAATTTCCCACTCCAGACTGCACATCCCCTCCTCAGGGAAGACTGGCATTTTTTGGGACTTATTTTGGGGATGTGACACTGTGGGGCAGAGACACACAAGGATTTGTCATGGATCACTTGTGGAACAGCAGGCAGCCTGCAAGGAGGTAGCAGCACTGCACCCCAAAGCCAAAGCTTTGAGGGCTGAGAGATGGGAACTGGGGCTTCTCCTCCCACCACGTTTGGATGTGAAAGCTCAAAGCTGTTCCTCCGTTTTTTCTCTTCCTCCTTGTGGGTTTCTTTTCCCTCAACTCCAGTGCAGGTGGCATTCCCAGCCTGGAAGCAGGTAAGCATCCAAGTAGGCTCCTGATACAGCACCAGCAGCGGATTTATCCTCCTTGCAGGAGAAGAGATGTCTCTGACACTGCTGCCTCACGCATGCACTGAGCTCCCAGCTGTACAGACATAGAAGAATAAATGTATCTGTGACTGGAAGTGTCTGGTTGCCTCATTTCCTTGGGAAAAAGCCACAGAAATCCCAGGCACTGGGAGCACAGGGTATCTGGAGTGGCCCAGGTCCATCCTCCCTGGAACTGCAGGGTTTTATGATGGGCAGGGGGGAAACCTCTGAGGGAAGGACAGAGCTGCTGGGACTTGATTTTCCCCTGAGGAGAGGTCACACAACTTGGGGCAAGACAGGAACAGTTCCCCACTCTGGGCTGGACAATGGGAAAGGCTCTGCCAGGCTTAGAACATTTTGGGCAGCACCAGGACAAACGGTTAAAAGAAACTACCAGTTCTTACCTTTTTGACTATTAGAGTTCTTTTAAAAAAATAACAATGATAAAACCTCCATGCCCCCAGATAACCAGGAGCTTTGGAAGTGGCCACAGCAAAGTGCACATTCTAGGGAAGGCACAGCTGCCTCTTAGCCAGTGAAATTCACCTCCCAAAGTCAGATAATAGGAAATAAACCCTCTGAAATCTCTGAAGGAGCTTAGAACAGGTACAACAACATCAGGCAGGAGGCTTTTCTCAGGGCTGAATGGCTGAGGGAGCAGTGGCAGGGAGATTCCACTGCAGGAGCAGGGAAAATCTTCCCAAAAACTGAGCATTGCACGCTGTTGGAGTGGCAAAACAAGCTCTCTGCAGCCACTGTGTGCTTTGAACCATCACACAGCCACTGCTCTCAGTAGCCTGGAGTAACACTGGCCAAGCCACAACTTTTGAATTCCAAGGGGAACTGGAGCCTGCTTGGCTCCAGCAGCTCTCCAGGAACTGCTGGACAACGTGCACCTGTTGCTGTAGGAGACAACAAGGCTGTGGAAGACAAGCAACCTCCTCACAGCACAGCTTCTACCTGGGAGCTGCTTCCAAACCCTGTGGCTGGGGTTTGGCTGCCCTTTACCAGTGGATTTTGGCACTCAGGTTCTGGCTGGCTCTCCCAGGCAGGGAATACCTGGCTGCCTGTCCCAGACAGGGAGCAGAGGATGAGTAGTGAGCGCGTTGCCATGAGAATGCTGCAGGTTTGGGCTGTTTCCTGAAGCAGAGCAGCGAAGGAGCTGCTTTTGCACAGAGTGGGAACAAAACGGGGGTGGATTCAGACAAAAACAGAGGGGGGAAGCGAACAGGAAGCAAGGGCAGCTTGAATCAGAATGAGATAAGTGCAGCCTGGAAGCAAAATCGTGGAGTCTGGTGGCTGGGAAGCCAGGCTGGGTGTGAAGGGAAGAGGCAGAGGGAACAGGGATCTGGGAGCTCACTTTGCACAGTCGTGAACTGGAGAGAACAAGCTAAGTCAGCTGGAAGCAGATCAGCCAAGAGGAGCTGTAAACACATTACAGGTTTTAGAAGCATCCTAGTGGATGCAGCAGGAGGATGTGGGGAGGGTCTGGAGTAGGAACAAGGAAAAACAGGAAGAAGAGCAGTTGGAGATGCAAGGCTCCAGTGCAATCCCAGAAAGTGCAGCTTCTTACAGCTAAAAGCAGCAGAAAGGACAGCAAAGCACCAGCTGTGCAACTCCTGGGAAGGATGCAGGTCCCTGGCAGCAGCTTCTGAGCATTCCCAGAGCCAGGTGGGATTGAGGAGGCTGTGCTGGGCAGAGGTGAGTCACCAACACCGTGTGCTGCTTTCCTGCTTTCTCTGCCGCCCCACCACACTAATCCTGCACCGCAGGCAGACGCTGCACTTCCACACTAACAAGCTCTGGGCATGGAAACAGGCCAAGACAAACTCAGGGATCTGAACCCACAGAGCCTGGAATCCACTACCAAGCTTCAACTGCACCAGCAGCCCCCTTGGGTAGGGATGAGCTGGTTCTCACTCTCTGCTAGTGAGAAATTCTCAAATAACATGCTTTGGATTCTGCTTTTTGCCCCAGTTTCCTTGCAAACACTCTGGTGAATCTCCTGTGGCTGCAGGACTCTCCCTGGTCCTACACAGACAGGATAACAATCAGGCATTCTGATGCATAATTACAAATTATATAAATAAAATAAATAATATTTATCTTAATAAAACACCAAGAGAGTGAATGCACTGAACAACCTCACAAGTTTAAAATATTTAGGGAATGAACATACAAAAGAGTATTTAGTTTTATATTTGTCCCTCCTGCAAACCCTAAGAATAGAGGTTTGCTTCCAGCACTGAAACCTCCTCCTGGGAATGCAGTGAGTAACCAAGACTCTCTAAAGGAACCTTTCAGCAGCTCTCACTCAGAGGACTCCAACAGTCAAGAATGGCACCATTCCAACATCAGAATGACACCAGAGACTTTAGGCTGAACAAGGAACATCCTTGTTCTTCACTTGGGAGAAAGGGAATGTGTGAAGATCCAGTCATCCAAATAGCTCCAGTTCCCAGTGTGCTGCTGCCCAGGCAAGTGGTGATTTAAAAAGCCACTGATCCAGCACAGAAAGGGCTGCTGGGAAAGCCAGGCCTGGCCCCAAGAGCTTCTATCTGACCACATCCACAGAGCACACTGAGATTTACAGCAGCAAATTTCCATCCCACAGCCCATTCTCCTTACCTGTGAGGTCCTGGAATGGCTGGTGCTGTCAGGGAGGACGGTGCTGGGGCGGCTCTGGGGCTGGCCCTCCAGCCAGGAAATCTTCAGGGGGTTATTTAGCAGGCCCACTTCATTCTTCACAGCCATCTCCTGGCAGGGAAAACATCCTTCCATCACCACCTGAATTTCAGACCCTGCTCCCTCACAAGTCACTAAGAATCATGTTCCCATCTCAGAATGACCTCAAGGCCAAGTAGGGCACAAATAAAACCCATCCTTGGAAGTGTCCAAGGCCAGGCTGGACAGGGCTTGGAGCAACCTGGGATAGTGGATGGTGTCCCTGCCCATGGCTGGGGGCAAGGTCTTTTAAGGTCCCTTCAAACCCATACCATTCTATGATTCCATTCTGTAAGATTTTAAGGATCTTTCCAACCCAAACCATTCCATGACCCTCAGATTTCACAGCTGCCCTACATGAAAAGCACCTCTATGGTCCATTCCCCGGTCAGTACTTTTGATATACACGTTGCACACAGTTCTGGGGGTTTTTATTATTTGGGAATGAGTGAAAGAAAAGCCAACAAGGAAACTCTTGAACAGCCCAAGGTGATGGAACTACTAAAATTTAGCGTAACTGATGACTTCTGCTCCCACAGCCACATGAATTATTATAACTCAGTCAAGACATTTTGGCAAATGCTTGATATCACCTCCAAAACACATAAGCCCAAGTCCAAGGCATTCCATCTTCAGAGAGAGCTGAGGAAGTGCTCAGTGCCTGATTTTTAAGGCAGTGCCTCTTCCTTCAACCTGTTCCATGCACAACCTGTTTATGTGCCTGATCTCTGGGTTTGTGCCTCCAGCTGTGCCACTCCCTCCGTGCCTCTGTGCCTTTAGACTCTCATTACCCTTCTCCACTGCCTTAATGACAGGGCAGTGGTGTCCTGGCTGTCACCTGTCCTGTGCCACCCCCAGCACACCCAGCAGGGACTCTGCACACTCACAGCTGCCTTCACCGTGGCAAATTCCACCACTGCACTCCCAGTCTTCCTGCTGGAGATCAACAAATTGAGCACATCACCATACTGTGGAAAGAAAGAAAGGAAGGAAAGTTAATTACAGAGCCAGGAGAGATGTCAAATTCATTTATCAAATGAACACAAAGACAAAACATGTGTTTTCACAGACATGAGGCTTGAGCTGTCACCATTTCTGTCCTGCTTCCACTGATCCCACCATTTCTGTCCCTCCAGGAAATAATCTGGGCAGGCATGGAGCTACACACTTGGCTCCCAGCAAGACCCGGTGCAAGAGGGCTGCTGAGCTCAGAGGGAAAATAAAGATGCCAGGCTGAGATTGATCAAATCAAAGGCTTGTCTGTGCCTGTCTCTGCACTTCCCACAGCAGGGATGTGGAGTGCTTGAAGTGAAGGATGAGTGCACCACAACCACAGAGCCAGACTAAGTGGGCAGGAAGCATCCAGTGGGAAGAGTCTGCAGTCGCTCTGTTTCAGCAAGAGTCCCTGCTGGGAGCCAGGCAGAGCTGTTAGCTGGGAAACAGCTCCCAGCTCAGGGATCAAAGGATCCAACCTGGTTCAAAGGTTGGATTTGATGATTTAAGAGATCTTTTCCAACCTTAATGACTCCACGATCATGCTGATGAGCTCTGAAAACTGCATGAGAAAGCTGAACAGGGAAAGAAATGAGCCACTCCAGTTTAGAGCTTACAAGGCCATGAAGTGACAGGACACAGGGAACGGCTTCAAACCAGCTCTTTAGATCAGATTACCTGTTTAGATTAGATATTAGATAAAATCCTTCCCTGTGTGGGTGCTGAGGCCCTGGCACAGGTTGCCCAGAGGAGCTGTAGCTGCCCCATCCCTGGAAATGTCCAAGACCA